TTTTCTTCTCCCCCCCCCCCCCCCCCCCCCCCCGCCGATGGGAGCCTGGGTTCACTTGCAACGTGTCAATTGCACTGGTTCTTTCTCTGCTCTTCCTCCCCCCCCCCTCTTTTTTTTTCTTTCTTCCGGGGATGGTGACTTGGTAGCTGGGTAGCTTTTTAGTGACATCCACAAAACCCTTCCCAGGCAAGCAATGGCTTAGAGGAGAGGGAAGGAGAAGAAGGAGAAGATGAGTTTCCACAAGGAGGATGGTGTGGAGAGCCTGTGTCACAAGGCGCTGCAGATCATCTCAGAGCTGTGCCTGGGGGGCCAGGTGGAGTGGGAGAAATGTTCAGGCATCTTCCCTTTGGGTAGCTTTTTAGTGACATCCACAAAACCCTTCCCAGGCAAGCAATGGCTTAGAGGAGAGGGAAGGAGAAGAAGGAGAAGATGAGTTTCCACAAGGAGGATGGTGTGGAGAGCCTGTGTCACAAGGCGCTGCAGATCATCTCAGAGCTGTGCCTGGGGGGCCAGGTGGAGTGGGAGAAATGTTCAGGCATCTTCCCTTTGGAGACCACCAAGCAAGGTATAGGCAGCACAGGTAAAGTGGACTCTCTGCGGAGCTCTCCTCCCCCGGATCGTCTCTAGTCCTCTGCTGCTTCCCCCTTTCTTTCCAGCACCCGCTTTCTCTCCCTCACCCCCCCTCCCAACCCCCTACTCTGCGCCTTGCTTCTCCGTCGCTTCCTTAGAGCCAAGAGGGGGGAACAGGCGTGTAGGACGGTGATCTACTAATAGCAGCAGCAGCAGGTTGTGTGGGCGTTTGGAAAGTGGAACTTTTTCTTTGCCCTGACTGCGAAGTTGGGAGTAGAGGGGAGAGAAAGAATCCGGGTTAAAACAACAATAATCCAAAGCAAGTTTTCTTCAAGAGCTCAGGACCGCCCTCAGCACCGCCTAGAGTCCCGTTTTCTCTGTGGGGTGGTGATTGGAAAGCAGAGCGCCGGGAAGGCTCTGATGCTGTTTGGAGGAGTCACTGCTGTATAGCGAGGCTGCAGAGCGTGGGGACAATAAGTCCAAAGAGAAGAAAAATGGGGGAGAAGCGCCGTGTTAATGGATAGGAGGAGGAGGAACTCGCCCCCAAAGTGAAAGCCCAGCAGTTGATGGTTGGATTTGTGCAATAGGAAATATCCTAGTTGACTCTCTTGCTAGTGCAACCCTCCCGCCCCGACACACTCACGCACACACACACTTGAACTTGCATCGCTATTTGTCTTTAAGAGAATCTTGCGTTGTCTACGATGAAATTTTCCTTTCTGAACGCCGGAAAACTCTTTGCTCCTGTTGCATCGATGTAGGGAGAGGGAAGAGGCTGCTGGTTGTGTGTTGTAGACAATGGTTAGTAATGTATGTTCCGGGGGAAGGGAGGGTGATGCTGCATGGATGAATTACCCCACACGCCTTCCCCTCTCTGTTTTCCCCAGTGGCCGTTAGTGTTCCTTGCGATCTTTCGAGCCCACGGTTTCAATCAGGCAACAGGTTGCATGAATCGGAAGCGCTTCAAATGGAGGATTGCTCTGCACATCGCTCAGGATTGGGGAGGGGAGAGCACTGGGAAAGAGATGGACAGGGATCCTCTTGGCAGAGCAGAGACGCCGTGTTTAGACGGGTTTTAATGTGTACACCTGATTTCTTTGTTGAAGTTTTAACTATGAAAAAA